GCCAGCCCACGCATCTCCATTTCCAGCGTGGAGCCATTTGTTCTGCTCCAGTGCTACCCTTTAATTTCCATTATGCCTGTCCCCAAATGCTGTTAATGCCATTTCTGTGTTCAGAGAGCAGTTGCATCCTCTCTCAGTCTTTGGTTTCAGTCTCTGCTCGGAAGACAGGTTTTCCTTTTCCCTGTCATCCTTGAATGGCTGTTCAGAGCTGTTCAGAGCACGCTGTTCCATCCCCTGGCAGCTGTTCAGAGTGGATTTTCTCTTTCTCAAATATGGCAAAGCCAAACTCCACATATTATTTATAGTTACATGTCCAAATCTCATTAGAATTATTGTTTGGGGTGGAGGGAGATATCTCACCAGCTCTTCTCTATTTCTGCTTAAAATATAACAATATATTTATATCTACTCTGATAAATTCTGGCACCACAAATCCCATATAACCATCATCTGAATAAGGCAAAGCCAAGCCCATCTCCAAGTAGTTGTTTCCAAGTGATGCTCACACACTCAACTAGAGACAGCCAAAATTCAACAGGGATTTGGTCCAAGAGAGGAGACTCCCTCCCCCTCCACGAGAGAAGGGAAAGTTTGGACTCAGGCACGAGTAGAGTACACCAGATTCTTGATTCATCAACATTTTTCCTCTTACCTGTGTTCTCCTTTCATTTCTAAGGAGTGATAGAAATAAATTGTTTCTGTGGGGAACAGTTGTGTTTCTGTCCCCATTTTGTTTAAAAAGCCACAATCTACATAGTGTTTTTCCATCAGTGAACTAGTAGACCACTGCACTGTGTACATATAGCATATATATCATACTGATGCATTTCCTAAGTAATCATTTCTTGAAAACAGACTCAAGTTTCTCTGTGCAGCTCGGAATGAAATTCCATGGCCCCAAATCCCATTTTTTCCTGACTTGAGCAGCACATTACTGTATTTCCAGGGGAGGTATATATGAGTTACCGAGTCTGATTGTGCAGTAATTGCCGTGCAGGGATTTACAACCTTTGCTATCTCGTTGTTAACAAAGGAACCTGCCAAACATGAGCTTTCCTTTCAGGAAAAACAATTAGCCATGCACAATGAAACCATGGATTATTGCTTTTTTGGAATTTTTCCGAACTTTTGGCAGGTTTGCTCTGGAGACTCATATAACCTCTTGCTGCAGAATGGTTGGGACCCCATAAATATCAAGGTCAAGAGCAATCTCTGCTTATAATTGTCCAAAGAAATACGTTCCTGGCTCCTTTCATGATGTCACTGACATTGGGAAAAATAATTGCCGAGGTCAAAATGTCTCTTGGTGACCTGTCTCGCAGTAAAATTGCTGTAAAATTGCTTACTCACAGTCACAACCCCCCCAGGGCTGGTGTTTGTGACCTGCCAGCTGCCTGATTGTGACTATTAGTTTGGGAGGCTGGATGGTTTAGGAAGATTAAGGTAAATTCCCTGCATTGATCTCTGATTGAGAGAAGAAATGGCTCTTTCTCATTTGGAGATGGATCAGTGGAAATCATTTTCAAATACTACTGACTATTCATGAGCTGAAAACAATCGTTAATTCCTTGCAGCAGCAGAGTTTTCTTATTTAAAAGGAACATCATTGGTTCAGAAATAATTCCTAAATTACCATCCCATTTTCCTCCCTGTCCCACAGGGAAAAAGAAAAGCCATGAGTGCCCCACTGGGTGTGTAAAAAGCTTTAAAAACTATCTTGGATAGTTCTCACCTGGTGTTGAGCCAAGGGTACACTGTTCAGGAGACCCTTAAACCAGCACAGAAGGGAAAAGCTGAAACAGGATAGGGAGAGCAAAATCATTGAGCAGTCAAGATGACAAGAAAAAAAAACAAGGAGCTGCTAAGGAAAAGGGAAGATGTAATTTAAATCTATTGCAGGGAATAAATAAAAACAATTAGAATTTTTTATTAGTTAGCATGAATCCATTTTAGCTACCAGCACTTGCATCTGGTGGAGTTTTGGGGGTTGGTTTGTTTGGGTTTTTTCTTTATAAATTAACTGTTAAATCACTGCTAGGAGTCAGAATCAAGTGGGTAAAAGAGAAGTAATATCAGTAAGTATAAAAAATGTAGGTAACCATGATGACAACAAACTGGACACTCAGTGTCTGGAACAGAGCTCTACAAACTGATGCACAAAGAGGAATCCACCATGAGTTTCTTCAACAAGAACATCCTTGAGCACAAAGAGTAGGAGTAAATAACTACCCGTAGTTTGATGGCAGGTTCAGGGCTCCTCTGCTGCAACAGCCTCAGGATTTCTGCAAATTACAGAAGAGTCCCCAAACTCAAGAAGCCATTTCCAACCCTGAATAACAGTATATTTTAGTTGGTGTTTAAGAGACAGTTTTTCACGAGCCAAAACCAATTTTAAGCAACACGAGGTGTGAGAGAAAAAAGAATTAAACTGAAGAAAGTGACAATTGAGGACTTAATAAAAATACTTGGAGTAGATGCCCCCAAAACCACAAGGTTGGGCTAAAAAAAGAAAACTGCAGGTTGGAAAAGCAGCCTGGCTGTGAAGGAAATGAAAGTCACAATAAAGCAAGATAAATATTGCTGTTTTCATTTCCTTGTTCTGTTCAACAGCATTCCCTTCATTCCCAGGCATGGGCTGAGCCATGGAACAGAAGAAGGAAAAGGTGAGAGCAGCGAATACAAGTGAAAACTTGCACTTTAAGAAAGAGAAACAAAGGGCATGAAAATATGAATTATGGAAGCAGAGCGGAAATACTGAGAGTTTTTTAAAAGTACCTTTGCTTTCTGCGCTGGCCGTGGCAGTTTTGGACTGGCTTGGGAAGCAGGACCAGGAGCATCACTCCCACCTCCCCAAAAGCACTTTTCCAGATGTGAAGTCGTGAGATGCCAAGGGCAGGTTGTACACCAGAGAGCAAAGGACAGTAGCTGAAAAGCAAAATTGAAAATGACATTTTGAGGATAAAGGAGTATAGAAAATTTCGGTAAATGCAGCTGTCTGGGAAAAAGGCCCAGGGCCTGCTTTGAGCTTGTTAATGCCAATGGCAGGTTTTTGAGCCTGGCAATGGGTAAAGACACTCCTTTTCTGGGTAAAATATCACAGTGATGCTGTGAGGTGACCTTCAAAGCTGTCCTTTGCAGAAGGAGCTGTGAAGGAACACTCTGATCTGCCCATCTCAAGGACAAGGTCAGCAGGAACACAGCCCACGCAGGGCTTGGCCCAAGCTCCTTCCCCTTGCCCGAGTCAATCCTACACAAATTAACTTGGGCTCCTACGTTCTCCTTGTCTCCTCTCACAGCCTTTCACCAACCAGGTATTTAAAATAAGTATTTCCTTCCTCCATCACTTGCTAATGTCTGTTGTCAGCCCAAGGTGAGAGAGACAGAAATTCACGGAGCGGGATCCCAAGGCTGCCCATTCCTTTGGAACCTGATGCTTTATTTCAGCAGCTCTGCTGGGTCCCAACTCTTTCAAAGCTTTCCATTTCTTGCCAGCTCAGGGGCTCCAGTTTCAAGGTTTTCTTTACGGTAACTCCTGGCTGTCCCAAGCCAAATGTACATATTTTTCGGCATAGATAAATCCCTTTCTCTCACATCTGAGAGTAAGACAAATATATGGGCATTCAATATGTCTTACTATTTAACAGGGACAGAAACAAGGCGGCCAAGGCAATAAATTCCAGGAGAGAGGCTTCTCCCAGAGGACCAGAAGGAAGTAAATGAATAGAGGTACATATGTGAGGCAAGGCTGAGTCCCTAACAAGACATCTGTGGAAGGGAGGGAGAGAATAAATCTCTCCCTTACTCTCAGAGGAACTTCATTAATCTTGCCTCAATTAGGCTTTTCTTAACTATTGCTGTCCCCCCGTGAGCAAGCAAATAAAAATCCATAGGAAGGGTGGAAAGAGGAGAGCCACAGCCAAGGCAGAATGTTGCCTTTGGATGCCTGGAGAAGGAACACCTTCCATTTTCACTCCAGTGGGGTACAGAGTGTATCTCCTGTTCAGTAACAGAAAGGCACAGTCGCTTCTCATGGCCATGGTTCACTCCCCCACACACAGCAATTCCCGTGGTCTGTGTAAGGCAAATGTTCCTTCCCTGGGGAAGTCTCTTTATAAGGTGCTGACAACCAGTGATCTGCTAATCTGACAATCCCAGAAGGTGTGTTTGTACCCCCACAGCAGAGCAGGCAAGAACACCAGGATGCACCCATATGTGCCTTAGGTATGTGGGAAGTGGGAATTCAGAGGAGACCTTTGCAGGCTTCCACATGTAACCTCCAGACGTGCCAGTGTTGAGGCGTTTAATCATCTCCTGTGGGCAAATGACACAGAATGCAGGAACAGGCACCAAAATTATTCACAGCTTTCTTACCCAAGTGCTGTTTACATTTGTTGAAAGCCCAATCTGCTGCAGTCAGCGAGATCTACCTTCTCTATTTCTGCCAAAAAAAAAAAAAAAGAAGAGTATATATCTCTTCATCTGCCCATCCATCCACCCATCATCATCTCCTGTATCACAGCACCACAATTCCCTATAGCCAGCACTGGATTAACACAAGGTAGTGGTTCCCCACCCAACTTCTACTCAGAGCTTGAACTCTGGGAGGCTGGAGCCATCCCATATTCCATGTTTTCTCAGTGCCCAGCACAACAGCAGCCCTCGGGTGACCTCCACATGGTCCCTTTTTCCCTGTCCTTTGCTTACATAATGCAGATGATTCATTAATATGAAGTCGCCCGGAACACGGAACATCTGGGTCTGCTTTTTATTTTTTTCCTTATCCTGTGAAGTTGTCAAGTCAGCTCTGGGATATTTTGTCTAAAGTTGATCCTCAGAAGGTTCATGTAATTAGGATGAGAAATCCTTTCCAATTTCAGCTTTTGGGGGATAATCCCATGTTGGTATATGCTATTTCCTGGTGGGTGTTTCTGTCAGGAGAACATCTTTCTTCCTAGCTGTGTCCTTCAAGTAGTTTTGGAAAAGATAATCCTTGAGTCATTAACACTTTCTGTGGCCCTGTTGAGCTTGGCAGCGTTTTCTTACCCCATACTTCTCAGCCATTTTTTTCCCTATGCATATTCCCAGGAAAGGCTCCTCCATCTGTTTGGCATTCTAATGCTGGGATGAGGCTCTGTTTATTGGGGGATGTGGCTGTTTCCATGTAGGGCGTTATCAGTTTTTCCTGTAAAAACATACCAGCTTTGTAAATTTGAGGACAATGATTTATGGCCCAAATGCTGCTAATTCTCTCATTACTGGTCAAACAAGGACTTTTTTTTTCAAATGTCAGATAACAGATGTTGAGGAGAAATTTTATCTCCACTTCTTCCCAGACTACCATTTGAGCTAGCAGGGAAAAAGGGAGGAGAAGGGAGAGCTGGACACAGATTTTAAACACATTTGGTTTTAATCAGCATTTTAAACCTGACCAGTTCTATAGTTAATTGCATTTTTTCCTCTATTTTGGTCACAATGTCATACTTTGAAATCTGATTCAAAATTGACAAACTAATCAGTACTTTATAAAGTTCATCTGGGGTTTTTTTTAGATGTAGTGATGTCACAACACAATTAGTCAGTTACTCTCGGTTTTAATAACAAAAAACCCCAAACAAACAAACAAACTCCCAAATTAACCTCCATTGTAACAAATGTGTTTGTATTTTTCTTAGCAAGGAGTTACTGTTGCTACAATTGCAGCAAAGTGGAGATAAACAGCTGGAAAAATGCCTATGGGACACACTTCATAGCCCAGAACTTGATGTAAAGTCTAGAAACATTAATTAATATTAAACATTCCATGGTGTAAGAGGCAATTATTACTTATATTACAACTATCTAGAAGGACACAACACTTTAGTCTGGCTGTATTAGATTATTGCATGGCTGGTGATTCTCACCCATTGTGAAATCCTTTTAATCCACTTCACAATTTTCAGTCTTTAACCAAGATCTCTGTTGAGATTCAATTTTAATTGAATGCATATTAAGTAATTGTTAAATATTGGACATTTATAAATTTTCTTGACCTTGAACCTAATTATATATTTTACAGGGAGGCAAAATAGTTGATTATGATAATAATATATAATATAATCAGTATATAGTTGATTACACACTGGATGACATCTTGATGTATATATCTTGCTATCACAAAAAAAAAATCTGTATGTAGACAATAATAAGAAGAAAATTCTAAAAAAGCCCAATCTAACAACTTCACGTTATTGCCATGTCATGAGCCACAAGATTCCAAGAGTACCTGAAATTCCCTGGAGAGCTCAGAACCAAGACTGACTCAATTATTCACCTGCCTTTGATGATGCATTTGCTGAGTTGTTTTGTTGGAAAACGAGGAAAATATTTGGTTTACTCTTATATTTAGTTAGTGCTGGAGATTTTATGCTGTATGTTCTCATTTTATAGCAAAACCTTCTCATCACTTGGATGCACCCACCTTTTACCTGTTCCCCATGTGCATCCCTCAGGAGTAAGGAAAATGTTCTGTCTCACTTTTAGGCAAACCGTGGCAATATCCTCTGTTTGCTTCTGTTCCAAAACCTCCCGCTACTGGAATCTAAGCGCCTTCTTTGCTCCCTTGATGGAAAAGATTTAAAATTTGTTTAAGTAACTGAATTAAGAGCAGCAAATTTGTCATCTTTCTCGGCTGCCTCGGCCAAAGCTGCTCCTAATGCTGATCCAAGCCCCAGTGCTCCCCCTGCATCCCTATCCCACGCTGGCAGATGCTGAGCCTGCGTGTCCACCCTCGGGGGATGGAGCCATAAATGTCTTCCTCAAACCCTCATCCAGCCCCGTTCCCCACACAGCAAAACTTAATGACTTCGCAGAGGAGTCCAAAAACAAACAAGGCCCCTCACTAAAAGCAATTCCAGTTGGAGTTGACTTGTCCTTGCTTGACCTCAGCCTCCTCAGCTCTTGCTCTTTAAAATCTGTGTCTTCCGTGGGTGGTGCTCATGGCATCTCCCTGACAGGGATGAAAGGCAGCCCTGAACAACCAGTTTATTATAGAGTAGATCTGTGACCAAAAAGGGAATGATTTCCCATTAAATTGAAGGGATGCAGAAATAGGATTGAAGAAAATGAATCCAGCTGATGTGAAATGCATGGCCTGAACGGTCTGGGCACCAGTCTTGGTGACAGTGGGGAATGAAGTTTATAGCTTTTGGCATAGAACTGAGGCAGATTCGTGGTGTTAAGTGTTTTGTCAGTGTTTATGGGCTGGGGCAAAGCTTAATATGTGCTAGAAAGCAGAGGGTAAATAAAAAGATATGAGTCGGTTCTGTTGGTTTGGTTTGTTGGGTTTTTTTTCCTGAAAACTCACATTTTAGAGCTGATGCTGTGCTTGGTGAGAACCCAAGTCATGATTTCTGCCTGTCTGGGTTGGCAGGACTCAGTGTTTGTTACCAGCATGGTGTTGCTGTGAACACTTCTACAACAAAAATCACAGAATCATGGAACCACTAACGTTGGAAAAGACCTCCAGGATCATCATCAAGTGCAACCACGGCCACTGAACCCATTGAATGAATGATATGTTCTGAAGATTGAAATTTGACTGAGAAAAACATAGGAACATATTTTCTGTTCATTTTGGTGATACAGGCCAACATAAAACTCGGGGGGGGGAAAGTTTGTTCTGTGAGGTTGGATACGCTGCTAATAAATAAAAAATGAAATCAGATTACAAACACCAGATCCTCACGCAATGTAATTCACTTCCCTTCCACTGATTTAAGCAAGTATTAAATTGATTTAAAGGCAGCTCTGTCAACTTCTATCGCCAAGGGGTTTGGTTCTGAATATCTAAGAACTTGATTTCTTCAAGTCTTTTATATTTATCATTCCCATGGTGCACAGAGAGGCTGAGCATGTCTCTGCCAGACAACTGAACAAAACCCAGATCCCTCACCACGTGACCTTGGTTTAGATCATTCCATGTAGGGACACATATGGATATAGAAGTACATTTTCTTTATATATATTAAAAAAAAATAAATAAATATATATTTTATATATACCTGAAAATAAGCAAAACTACACAGATGACATAGATAACTTATTAAATTATATATATTTATAAAAATATTAACAAAAAAATTACCACTTCCTTATGGCTTGATCCCATGCCTTGTCTTTGCTCCCTCACGTGTATTCATTCTCTTTTCACACTGCCTTGCCCCTGAAGGATCAAGGTCTGTAACCAGAGAGAGAATAACTACTGTAAATCTCAAATTACAATAATCCAGGATTTAAGAAGTAAAATGGTACCATTAGAGCAGATAATTGTAACTCTGGAGAAATAGGTCAGAGCCGCAGTTCATCTCGGCGCTGCTACCAACAAATGAGGTCAGGTTTTGCTTTCTTTATGTGCTGTTGCTTTAAAAGAAAAGAGCTTTTTTTTTTATTCTGTATTGGTGGGGAGTGAATTCCCAGGCAGCAACACTAGAAGAGATAAAGAGTAGGAATTAAATCTCTGGTCTGTGTGGCCTTGGGTATCCAGTCCCACCCAACACAGGCACAAGTCAGTGCTCCTTTCAATATTCCTTATAAAATCACAAGCATTGTTCCAATTTAGTTCCATGCAACATGCGTGCAAACATGACAGGATTTTCCAAACATCCTGAAAACATAATAGCATTTTCCAAATACCCTCAGTGTAAAGGATAAACGTGCAGGCTCCTCTCCACCACGGCACGTGCACGCTCGGGATACTTCTTAGAGAGAAATTGTCTCCATAGTACAACTAAAAGAAATGAAAATAAGAACCCCAGCACTTTCTGTAATTGCTTTTGTGGAATGTAGTCAACCAAGGAAGAATTTCGTGCAGCTGGTAAAGGTGGTGTGACTACAAAAAAAATACAGCCTTCCTATAAATTCCCTGGGATCCCTGAGGAAACCTCAGGAAACAGGCTATTGCAATGCAGATTTGCACGGTTCCCTGAGGAATACTGCACTTCCACAAATCCTTCCCTGAAGAGATTTAGCTTTTCAACAGTTTGTGCTCAAGTACAATTAATTTTGATGGCCCCTGCACGATTACAAGTCTAATGTTTAGGTTTGCTATCAATTACCACATCAGACTCTTCCTGGGTCACTACTCCATGAGCTACTATGGCTTTACTTATGTTGTAGCCATCTCCATCCTCTCTGGAAATAAAAAGCTTGGGGCACATGGGTCTATCTGAACCAGCTGAAGTGTAAAGGAACAGTAATCACAATAAATAAACAAATAGCCACTCAAGGGTTTTGCTGTCAGGTATTAGAAGCGTGGAAGAAATTAATGGACACCTCCTCTGTTCTACATCCTGAGATACAAGCTGAGTTTTGATTCAAACAATAGATGTTGATGTGAATAATAAGACCTGTGTGCAGGCCTTGTGTGCAAGCATTTGCTAATTAATGCAGTTTGTTAATGGCAAGTATTGGGACAGATGTTGTAAAAACCCAATCAGCCTGTGCTAGGAGTGACCTGTTAGTTCTTTTCTGATTAAAAAAGTTTATCAGGAGCCCCGAGAGTTTGCAGTCGAGCCTTCCTTAAGTTTTCTGCTTCGATATTCATCTATATACATCATCTATGAAATATTTACAGAGGAAACCACTTAAAACAATGAAATATGAATGAGTCCTTTGGTGGAGGCGATGCATTTTCTCTGCCAGGTTTTACCCAGAGCGGTATTTGGGGGGGTTTATGCAGGGATGGGATCCTCTAATGAATCTGGCCAAGGGGAAATCAATAAGACAGTAATTAATTTAACTCCTTCTCCCTATTTTTCAAAGTGACAGATTTATGATGGGCCATGAAAAAAACATTAAGCATTATCTTTTTCCCTCTACTGGAGGCAGGGTGGGTAGATGAAGATAACGGGGCTGTGGCCGTTCCCTATCTGACACAGGGATCTGCTGGTCACAGAGGGAAGTTCTGACCTAAAGGAAAGGGCACAAGGGAACAAGGAAGAGCTGGGAATAGCAGGAGAACAGGCTTGGTTATGTGACTGCCTGGAGCAATTCTGGAGGAACCACTACCAAATGACAGCTGTCACTAGGAATAACCACGGCGTATGGGGCACTTCCCAGGAAAAGACAGTGAGATTAAACCATAAAATCACAGAACAACAAGCACACATTGCATTTGGTGGGGTTCTTTGCATTTATCTTTATTTGACCCCATTTATGAGCCATTTGAATTGCTGTACTTAGAAAGAAAAATTACTTTCCCTACAGCTTCAATTTGGGTTTTTTCTTTTATTATTTTTCCCCAGATATCCTCCTCTTCCTTCTCTCTCCTTTTCCTTTCAATGTAAATAATAGAATGATTCTAACAGCCATACCAGCTGCTGAAACCGAGAAATCAAAGCAATAAAAGAGCATTTAAGCCACCACTTGTATATTCATTCTCCCTTTCTATAAAGTCAGCAAGTTTCTTATATTCTTGATATTATATAATATCTTTTTATTCTTGACTATAAGTATTTTTCAACATTGTCTCTATCCCCACATGCGAAAATTCCTTTTATCTTTAGGCTTTTACCACTTAGTCACCAATATAATGAAACCCAGAAAGCCTAAGAACCCCTGACAGTTCACATAAACTCCAAAGCTGTTCCACTGAAATTTGATAGAAATAGTTGCAGTCGCAATATTTGGATCACCACAGGAATTAAACAAGGGCTTGAGTGACTTTTTATGGATAAAATGTACAATAACCACTTTCCTACAAGAGTACAAAGACAGTAAACTGTTTCTGTGTGTTAAACTTTTCTTTTTTAGTACTAATTTCCCCTCTCCTTGATCAAACTGAAGGAACTACTAAAGCTCGTGAAAAACTACCACAGTTTCAATTTAGACCACTTCAGTTTAGTGAGCACTTTCAATTTAAAATACACACTCCAGCAATTCCTCTCGACCAAATACAAAATACTTTCCTTTACAGCTGCCCAGAATAATACAGGATTTGAGCTCTCTTAACTCTTACTCTCCAAACTCCAAGGGGAAAATATTATTGCATGCTGAGAGTCATTACAGCCATTCCAGCCAAGTTATTAAAAAACCTGTACTTTCACCAGCCTGTGCTGATACTTTCTGAGCAATAATGGAGATTTTGGAAGTTTTTGTAGGTAAGTGTTTTTCAGCATCTGTGTGGTCAGGTTGTACCCACTCCAGCACCTGCAGAACTCATGGGTGGCTCTGTTTATCCCAAAGGTGTTCGTGTTTGGAGGAGGTAAAATGGCTTTGTAAGCCAGCAGGAAGAGCCTGCTCCCAGGAATTGCTGGAGGGAAGTGGAGTGGAATCTTCCAAAGGTGGAAAGCTGCACTTCAAGCGCGTGCAGATATTAAACAGAAGTCTTGTCACGGTTTAGTAAAGCAGAATCAGAGTTTACAACCTGCTGAGTGCCTCTGCATCTCACCTGCCTGGACATTTCCCTGTGTTTAGACTGGACAGGCCAACTTTCTCCAAGCATTTCTCCTCCTAAGGATGAGCAACACATCACCACTCCCAACTTACAACTCCCACAGCTTCCCAGGAAAAACCACTTGATTATATGCAATACATGAAAATTATATTAGAATACACTTACCATACATGGTGGGTGCAAATCCTGGGCAACTTTAGCCTCTTCCAACTCATTCCCTTGGCTATTGCACTCCATAATGCCAAATCCTGCCAGGCTGTGGGGCTTTTGCTGTGCTAAGGTGCTGCTTCCACTTTGAACCTGAATTCTCTCTACTCCTTCCACTTATATGATTTAAGGTCTTCAGTCCTTACACAATTACTTTCCATTTTCTGTATGGACTATTTATTTTACATCCAAAAAGAAGAACGAGGGAAAAAGGAAAAAAAAGGAATACCTTAGCAAAAGGTGAAAGCATATGTTCCTTCTTTGTGATGTTATATCCACTCTGGGAGCAGAAAAGGTTGTCAAGTCTCTTCTATCTTGAATATATTTAGTAAATTAAATCTCTGTCTAATCATTTAATTGATTTTCGTACTTCACAAGGAAGATAATAAAACAACTTGAAAAAATGTGTACTCCTTCTTCCCAGTGTTTTTCTCCTATAGTTTGCTATATATTATTTCCAAGATAATGAATATCAGTGCATAGCTATCCTCTAACTCATCTGGTTTTACTTTAGTCATCCTGAAAAACTTGGGAGTTGTTTTTCAATTGTTTTTACACCCAATTCAACTAGTAACTCATAACATGCAGATCAGCTAAGTGAGAAAAAGAAAAGGTCAGGACAATCAGGAAAATTTTTAAAGAGGAGTATTTAGTGTAATCAAGTATTTGTTAATGCTTTGCCCTTCTACATGATTACTATTTTCTGGTTTAAAGTCATTTGTTGCAAGAAAAGGTCTCTCTTATTCCTGAAATACCTTAAGAATGCATTTAGATATTTCCTGAGGTTTAATATATTTGGGAAAGTTGTCTCAGAAGCCTATTAGTTGACTTTTACTCCTTTTTGACTTACCTACACTGTTTGACACAAGCCTTTGACGTAGCTGTAATTAAATGCTGTTGGTTAACTTCTGTCTGAATCCAGCTGGGGCTGAGGTATCCCAAAATAATGACAGGCTCCAGGATGCCTTTTGGGAGTTGGTGTTGTATCCTCAAAAGCTGGAACAGAACTGTACCGAAATTATAGTTCTATATGTGATTTATTCTTAACACTGAGGCCAACTTTTAATTCCTGACCCCTGTGCCAGTCAGACTTTGCATCTCATCACTTCCCATCAACACTCATTCTTACTCAGAGATTACACTTCACTTACAATAAATCCACCAACCTGGTGCATTTTTTTACTGCAGTTTTCTGGCTAGTAGTAAAGCATTCTAATTTATTGAGCCAAATCTTTGCATTTTCACAGAAGCTTTACTCACTCCTTAAATTTGCCTCGTGAAATCCAAATAATTCCAATATTATACATTAGAAAATAGTCAGACTTCTGCATAAGAATTACTGGTAAATTATTTGCTGACACAGCTCACTGTTCACACACATCCACAATCACACTGCTACACAGGTATTTTTTTAACCTGTACAAGACCTCTCTGATGGTTTTTCCTAAATCAACCTCGGTGGGTTAAATAGCAAGGTCAGGGTTATGTGGTTATTAAATTGCCAGGATTAGGAAAAAATATCTATCATTTCCCATAGAGAAATGAGAAAATTCAGTAATACCAACAAATAAATAACACCTCTACTGCCTAAAAGCAAAATAATTCTGAAAGAACGGGCTTAAAAAGTGTTAGTTGTATTGCAAACTCAAAGGAAAACTGAGATTAAAACCAAGCTGAAGAGCAATTATGCCAGTACACCCTCCATTATTCCTCTGGAGGATTAATGCACTGTCCCAGGTTGCTCCAAGCCCTGTCCAGTCTGGCCTTGCACACTTCCAGGGATGGGTCTGGGATAGTTGTACCTCAGCAAAGGCTCTGTTGAAGGGAAAAGCCGGTGTTTGGATTTGCTCTAGATGTCCCTGCAGCTGTGAAACGTGGATGGCAGTGTTGCTGGAACAACCTCTCTTGGGAGGTTTCCTGTACTTTCTGCTTGCAGCATTGCCAAGAATATTCCTAAGGCAGCTTTTTCACAGTGACTCGGAATTTCACACTCTAGATGAAAGCAATTCGAAAGCAACCAGAGTTTAAAAGAAACAGAGTATTTCAGGTTAGCTGTGTTAAACTGGAGAAATGAGCAGGCTTAGAGGGAAAGATTCTTTCTTTTGGAATCCAGAATGGATCTTTTGGATCCAGGATGTCTCTGGATCTCTGCCTGTAGCTGGAAACAACTGAAATGGCACAGTAGCATAGCTGGCTTATCCATGTTTTTAAAAAGTAGTCTTCTCTTAGCCTGGGGAAATATATTCCTGTAGGATTTTATCCTCTACGTGCTTAAGAATTCCACATCAAGCACTGCGTGGTGTTTTACCCACGAAACTCCAGGCAGGAGAAAGCTCTGCTCCCCATGACCTGTGGGAAAGGTCGCTGGTCTCTGGAGAAACCTCCCAAAGCAGCCTCCAGTCCGTGTGTGTGCGAAGGCTCACACGAGAAATATTTCCATCTCCAGCTTCCCCGAGGACATCTGTTTCATTTCTGACTTTTTTTTTGTAAAAACCACCTCTATGTCAGCAGCTGAAAAACAAGGAGACGTGCTGGAGTCGGCTCTGGAAGTGCTCCTGAGCTCTCACATGGGCTGTGCTTGATGCCAAAGAGTTCCAGCACTTGGGTCTCACCGGAATGTTGTCCGTGGTGTCACCACGGGCACAGCTTCCAAGTCCTGCAGATTTAATGAGCCTGAGCACGCTTCTCACATCCCCAAGCACAGCAGCTGGAACCTGAAACAGATATCCCAAGCTTCCTTTCCTAAGGATGGTATGTAGAGAGGGCCTAAGGCGAGCTATCAACACCCAGAAGCCATCGATTTAGGAGGATTTATGGATGGAAAAGTAGAGATGCTCAAATTCCAGGGTCAGGATGCTTCATACAACTATTTGTCTTGTTGTGAGAGTAAGTTTGCTAACATCATATGATAACACAAGTCTCTTGGCTTATCTTTGGTTGCATAAACATGGTTTTGTACTAAATATACACATAGACAGTGACTGAGAATACATGTTTTAAACAGTCATCTACTGGTGTGAAAACCCAGATGAATGCTTTTGTTGTCTGGGGGTTTTTTGTTTCAAAACTGGATGAAGAACCAACATGTTTTCTGCTTTACAAGCCAATTCTGCCTGTATTTTTTCCCAGAGGCCAAGTATGTAAAGCCAGAGTCTTCATTTGCAGGGAACTCTGTAGTTATCTTCCATGCTTCTCTAATCCCATGTTGTCTCTAATTCTACATTTCACAGCCCAAAAACTTTTAGGTCCAGCTGAACAACCCGCAGAGCATTGTCCCTTACTCCAAGAGCTGGTTGTTATTCTCCCAGAGCTGCAGAGAGCTTGTTCCAGATAGAATCCCAGCTTTTCTCTCATGCTCCTCATGTGCCTGTTCTTCACAGGAGCTGCTGCTAAACATGAGAAACATGGAGAAAGAAGTCACAGCCACAGCATTCATGGAGAACATGAAAAGATATATTGTATTTTTCAGGGAAGAATGCAGCTTGGAAGGGAATGAGAATGAATCACAGTGAATCATTTTCACTCACTGAACTTAGTACAGAAATGGGGGGAGAAGGGCTGAGTGTGAAAATATTCCCTCTCTCATTCTATAAAGTAACAGCTAAACCTTCTCAGGACTCCTTTGAAAGCTGTATGAAACATTTGGTGTAGATACACTTTCTGTATAAGCCTTTGGCAGAGTGAAATCATACAGGAAGAAAACCCACGGGCTGATTGAACAGGGGCAGCAAGTGCTACGATGGCAAGATTTGGGATTTAGAGAGTTTCGTAGAATTATAGAATCATTCAGGTTGGAAAAGCCATCTAAGATCATCGAGTCCAACCGTTTCCCCAGCACTGCCAAGGCCACCAAGTGCCACATCTACACATCTTTTAAATCCCTCAAGTGATGGTGACTCAAACGAAGGCACGGTTATAAAAACATTGCAATAAACTGTATTTTGATCAAAGTTACTCCGGTCATTCTGGAGAGAAAACACCTTCAAGAAGATCAAAAGGCAGTCTGGCACCCTTCTCAACTGGAAATCCTTTGAAGAGAACGAGCTAAATCGATGAGGAACCGATGAAGAGCTGAGGAGGAGGGATGGGAACTGAAACTCGCAGGGGTAAAAGTCACAAGGAGAAGACCAGCACATACCCCAGGATTCCAGTAGGAGTGTTCAATTCCTCCCCCCCAAGTGGTTCTTGGATGAAGCAATAAGTGCAGCTGTCTCTGGAGAAGGAGGGTAACAGTGTTTACCAAGTCCATTTTGCACTGACTCATCTCCACACCGCGTTACTACAAGTTGGCCTCTGCTGGGGAAGAAAGCTTGGCAGGAGGAGATTCCTCTCTTGCTCAAGGTCTTCTTGCTGACTAGCAAGGGCCAAGTTCTCCAGAGGAGCTGGAAAAGCTGCCAGGAAGCGTAACTCAGTGTGTTTTTCTTTTCTTTCTTGGTCACAAAAAGGAGTTGCTGCCCAGTACCACAGAAGATGCAAGTACTCCCTTCCCAATCCTTACCAGGTAAAAAGGAAGAGCTCCAGAATACTGAGGATTCCCCTGATACCCCAACCCAGAGCTCTCTGTGCCCTCCTCTCCACCGCCCCCCCTTTATTTTAAAATAAAAAGAATGACCTCACCCTTTCTTTGGAAAAAATGAATACACTACAAAGCATCTTAATGACAAATCCTTACTGGGATGAGTAATTTTTTGCTGGAGAACAGCACCTGGAGTAGGAGGTTTTTGTGTTTGGTTTCAATCTACACACACCTTCATGGGGAACATAAAGAATTATAAGATGATCAGAGGGCTAGACCAGGAAATTAGAATTGAAAAAACAATTAGAAAGAGGGTGCACATTTCTAATGATCTGGGTAATTAAACATTGGAACAATTTAGCAAGATTGGGGCGGATTTTCCATATGGTTTAACATGTTTGTACTTAGACTGCTTCATAACATGGTATCTGTAGCAAATTTATAAACACAGTTTGCTAACACAGATTTTTGCTTCAACTTGCAGCAAGTGCATAAATAGATTTGAAATCGTTCACAGGAAGGCTAATTAAAAAAATGAATCACTGTATCAGCCACGCTGGTGATCCCACCCACCCTTCAGACAGCACAGGGAGAGTTCAACCGATCTCCAAAAGGGCAGATTGGGTTAGAAAAGAAAAATAATATTCATAAGAGATTTATAATTAAAGCCAAAGATTCATTTCCGTTGGAAACAGATGGTCAGGCAAAGGGATAATTTAGCTAAAGCCTGTGCTTCAACTTGCTAACAAAAGCATGGATTTAATCTTCCATCCAGTTGCACAGGGTAACCTGTTTATTGCGCATTATGGATCAGGGAATATCTGCACCACTTAAAAACCAGCGCTGCTGCTTTCAGCTAAAAGAAATTAAAACTGCAAGTGAGGAGAAAAATGAACAAGACTTCTAAAACTCCAGGGGAGAATGAAAGACTGAGGGCTGGGTGAACGGGGAGGAACCTACCGTGGTGATAATGGGGGTAGATATCGAAGATATCACTGAGATGTTGTGGTGGGTAAGTGGAGGGCATTGGATAGACAACAAAGAGGATGTTTTTCTTTGTTTCTTTAAGGTGAACTAAGGAACCAGTTGCAGTATTGTATGGACAAATCTCAGTGACAGCACTGGAAACACACTTTCATACCTTGGGAAGTCTTCTATCTCAGGAGACAACGTGGAAGAGAGTCACTGACGTATTTTCTTCTGGGAATAAAGGAAAGGTGTTGGTAACATTACATCTAAGCTGGTTTTCCTTCCACCTACCCTCCCCATAATGAATAATTTTGGTTCACTGCTGTCACACCTACCTTAGGAATTCCCCAAATGCCCATTTAAGCCAGCGTGCATCTCACCTGGACACCTGTGCACAGCAGCAACTACAAACCCTCAAACCTGCCCTACTTTCCTCATTAAAGCTGTTAATGCTTCCAGCAGTACTGACACCCTTGCAGGGCAACTCTGCTTCTGTTCATATTTTCTGGAAGTACTTGGTGAAAAAAAAAAGAAAGCATGAAATAAATGATCTTCGGGGAAATCATATCAGTAGGCAATTACAGACTGAATAATTCTGGAATCAGAAGACAGATGGAGTGAATTTCCTCATTCACCAGTGATAGACCAGCACATTGCACTCAGAATGAGGATTTGTCCACAGCCATGGAAATGGAGCAGCTATTTTATGGCACTGATTACTCACCTACAAGATCTTCAACATGTTCTGTTGGGAAATGCAACCACTAAAACACTTCAGTTATGCAAGAGACCCTGAGGGCTATATCTGAATAAATATAATATCTCTGATTTAAATAAGTGGAAATTAAACAGGGCCTACTCTCTGGGATCGGGAAATGAGAAAAAGTGACTTGAAAATTTATTCCATAGAGAAGGACATCTGTATTTTCCTTGAATTGGACCTTATAGGCATGGCTGGTGTTAGTATATTTTGAGATATAAAATATAGTAAGACAGTTTATTCTGTATCCTTTCTCTTGTCTAGATTTTCATCTCATGTTTAGCACTGGGACTTCTAGAAAATGACTGCAGGAGATGAGACAAAGAATGGAAATGGTGTGAGAAAACATCAAATCCTTTTTCTGGGACAGTTTCAAATTTGAGGTTTTTCAGGTTTTTATAAGAATAAACAACACCTAAGGAATAAAAGATTGCCTGACATGGACCAAGAAAAACAAACACAAACTGCACAGGCAGTTCCCTGCCTGGGAGTGCCATCCCAAGCCCGGAGCAGCAGGGGATGCTCTAGGCTCAGTGCAGCCCACAGGGCAGAGTCTGAGGAGTGCTCCTTCCTCCTCAGAAGGGAATATTCCTCTATATAGTTTGAGTGACACTAATATTGGAATATTTTATTCACTTTTGATGTCCACATTTTTCACGGTCTACTGAAAATCTGGAGAAGGTGTGCAAAAAAGCCTCAACTTGTACTTGGGAACTGGAGAAAGTGCCATACAATGATTAGGCTCCATGGAGCCAATCTGTTCAGCTTCTAAAAAACCTGAAATGTTGGAATACAGATGTACAATCATAAGAGGAAAACACCAGGTGCCAAATGACTCTTTGTCTTGGGGATAAAAATAACATAAGGCTGGAATCTACAGCCAGACAAAAAATCTAATTAGAAAGAAGGCATATTAACTCAGTATTAACTCAGATATTAACTACTGCAAAAGATTTTCAATGGGAAGTAATAGATTCTTAATGTTTTTCTGATGTAAATCACAACTGGATGTTTTTCTTCGTGTTAGTTCATGAAACAGTTACCTTCTAGTTAAATAGAATTTACTGGGTCTGAGTAATGAAATGGGAATTAAAGACAAAGATAGGAAATGGCAATCTGAATCCTGTGTCTTTAGCAAGACACTGTGTATTTCACAAGGCTACTGTGTAAATAGGGCAATGCAAACTGTTATTATCTGCTTATGAATTCAGCTGAATTTAGGATTATGCTGTAGGAGATGTTACCTGTGTGTCTCTGAGGAACGACCATGACTAAGAGGAGAAAGATTTTAGCTGGACTTCAAGGACTGTCTCCCAGTACAAGTCCTCATACTGGTCTCTGCTGGCACGGATGGGAAGGAAAAAGATGTCAGTGAGATCTCAGCCTGCTGAGAATCTTCCACTGATTTCAGCACAAGCATCCCATCAGTTCAGTCAGTGCGTGGGAGTAAGAGAGTGATGGGAGAGAAGGACAGGAACCACAAAGGGCACCACTTCATCTCAGCCCGCTCATTAGCAGGGATAACCATGGGCTCTTGGCATACTCACACGTTAGGAAGTTTAATGACTGCTGTTAAGGACTCTGTGGCTGTGGGAGGCTGAGGAGAGCACTGAAAACAGCACAGCCTGTTCCTCCTGACACAAACCAGGCACTTCTTGTTCTTCTCTGCTGCCATTCCACGCAGGGGGTTCCTAAGCAGGCTTTCACGTCCGATGTTGAAAGCAGAATTAATTAGGTAGCCCTTTTACTTGCAAAGAGAAAAGAAAAAAATATCTAGTGGCAGTAAAAATCTCAAAGAAATCACGTCTAAAGACAAAAGGTTGTGAGTTGCTGAAGTCATCAGGGCGGAAGGCCAGGGCTCTGTGCTCCCCCTGTACTTTTGCAAATCCTTCTTTCTGGATTTCTTTCAAATCCTCCACTCCATAGCCACATAGTAATAGGAGATCAATTATTTAAGTCTATTAGAAAAGGCTCTGGCTAAAAGATTGCTTAGGGATCGCTTGAGAGCCCAAATGATTTGCTAAAGATAAACTGCACTGACCCAAAAGCTCCGATATGCTCTTTATCAGCACTAACTGTATTCCCTCCATCCAGAGTGACAAAATGTAATGGAATCTGCTAAAGAAAACCCAAATAACACTGGAACCAATTACTATCAATAAGGTATGCTGTCAGAGAAAGACTTTTAAAAGTGTTGCCCAGAGGTAAGAAATTACTAGTTACGCCCTTGACCTTCAAGTTTTGCCAGCATTCAGAGCTTTGAAGGTCGGGTTTTGTAAGAAGAAAATCAGATGATGATAGATTAAATACTTCTTTAATGACATACAGTTCACTCTCCCAAAATGTTCCTTTTAAGCAACTTGCAATTTCTTCATTCAAAGTATGACAGCAGTCACAACTTGGTACTCTTCATCTTCTCGCAGGGCCACATTTTCTCTCCTTCTCCAGCCATCTTAAAAAGTACAAATATATCTTGGTTTTCTGAAAGGAATTAATTAGTCTAATGCGTTAGACTTTGGCAAACCTCTCCAGATGTGCTGGATTCTCTGATCCTAGTGATGTCCTTTCCCAAAATGCCCTCTATACACCAATAATAAAGACCCATTCCTACTCATCAAGTCCCTCTTCCTCCTGCTGCAGCTCTGAGCTGTGTAAGTAAAGTGGAAGTAAAACCACATTTAAAGGAGGAATAAACATGCCCTTGCCACGTAATGCTCAAAAGCGATCTTTCTAAGCAAATCTAGGGAACAACAACAAACATCACAGCCTGCACTAATTTCAGGTGATTAAATACTTGACTTTTACTGAGACTCAGATGTTCATAAGGAATTTAAAAAATGTATCTTTCAGACAACGCTGGTATGACATTTCAGGACCCTGTTCTCCCCTCGCTATGGCAAGTCATAATAACAGCCATTAATCAATTCTGTTACTTCAGTCACAAGTTGAATTTCAGCAACACTGCGCTGATTATAACTGAAACGAATGGAATTTATGAAATAACTTTTATCCATATCATAGATTATACCTTTGTTGCAACATTAATTCAAATCCAGGCACTTAATTGTATCTTCTTTCCTGCTGTTATCTATATTTAATGTTATCAACTTGCTTGGCAGAGGTGAAAACAAGCATAACTCAGGGAAAGAGAATATTTTTGTATTTTCACACTGGCCTGCCTTTGACACAAATCCTCCACTTCATCAAGACCTTGACTTATGTTCCACAGAAAGGAAATCAAGTATATTACTGAGTACTCCTCTGAACAGGAATGGGGTGCTGAAGTGCAGCTTGTGTAATTTAATTGCTAAATTAAATCTTATGCTCTTTTTGTCCCCCTTGGGAATACACATTCTTTGCCTGTTCTAGGAAAGGAGAAAATAAAAGAGAGCAGCCACAGAATAGTTACTGCTGCCCTGAGAGTACAGTTCATTAAGTGAGTAGTCAACAGGCACATTGTATGTTCCAGTGTCTTTCTCTGAGCTAACATTATTTTTTTGGACAAGTGGACCTAACACTGAGAATGTATTTTATAGCAGCTGTGGTACAAAGCAAACTAGATTTTACTCACTTTACTTGAACATCACTGATGAATATTCACTGGGTTTAAAGCCAGATGACAAAAGGAACCTGTTGTTAGTCCTGGGAATGGCACATATCGAAAATCAACAAGTATTTTTTTCAGGACTTCTGTATAATGTACATTAATAGTTGGCGAACGTGCAGTCCTTCTTTCATACATCTCCTTATCTGAAAAAAAAAATCCTTTAAAACATACTAAAAGCTGTTTTCTTCCTTTCTTCCTTTCTTTCTTCAGAGATGTCCTGAACCACCTTTGGAGCAGAAGCTGGTAGATCCAGCATCCCCATTTGCACCAAAGAATTCCACTGTGAGGAATTCAGTATCTCCCCATAGTTTAAGGAGAATTCAGACATATTTCTTTTGTCTAATTGCATTGTGGAAACTACCCTCATTCTTTGTCATCAACCAAATCTGAAGCTCCTTCAATTAAAAGAAATGTCACCAGCAAGTCCTTTCCTAGTTTATTCCATAAATGCTGTTTTTTATAAAAGGTAAATGCGTGTAGGAGACCAGAGGAATGGTTGAGCGGCTCAAAACAACCAGGTGGGAAGTTTGGGGGGGAACAGGAAGAGATCTGCATAGATGGGACTGCCACTGCTCCACCCCCATCCCCTTGAGCCTTAGTCAGCCTCTGGTCCACACTGGAATGGCAGCGGCCGACCCTATGGTCTGCCCTAAAATGGCAGAGTGAGCCCATGGCCCGTCACAAAATAGCAGATGAACCCATGACCTCTCACAAAATGGCGGATGAACCCATGGCCTGTCACAAAATGGTGGACTGACCCATGGCCTACCCCAAAATGGCGAAGTGAGCCCATGTCCTGCTGCAAAATGGCAGACCGACCTATGGCCTGCCCCAAAATGGTGG